CCCCTTCCTCCTCTCTGTGGCAGCCCCTCAGATACTGGAAGACTGCTCTCCTGTCTTCCCTGGTCCTTCTCTTCACTAGACTAGCCAGGCCCAGTTCCTGCAACCGTTCTTGTTTTAGTCTTTAGTATTGCTGGTGGCAGTAATGGTTTAGAAAAAAGGTTTAGAAAAAAGCGATAAAAACATGCAAAAATGTGGGAATTGGAGGCTGCTCTTACCGTTTTTATTAAGTCCTCCATGAGGTTATTTCCAACTGGGATTAAAATTCCCCCGATGATGGCCAACACTGCCCCAATGATTGTTCCCGTCAGCAAACCACAATTTCGATTACACTCCATGTTTCTTCAGAGTCACAGGTTCTTGCAGCTGCTCCTTCTGTTCCTTTGAACTTTTAAAAGTTTTTTTCTGATGTTCCCTCAAAATATATATCACAGAGATCTAAGCATGTTTTCAAAAGAGGTTAAAGTACCAAGTTCAGCATAAACTGCTCAGTGGAAGATCATTGAGAAACATGTGGTGGGGCGGGGAGGAAAGCAATTAAAACTTAGAATAGCAAAGATGAAAAGTTGATATAATGGAAGCCTGGCCAGATTGAGATTGACAAAGCAGTTCCCATTTAATATCAGAGTTAACTTTTCTTTTTCTTTATAGGAGATTCAGAAGTGAAGATCAGTAAGCAATCATTTCAGACTGAATTGTCCATCTCTTTCTAAAATAAGTCCACGTTTTGATCCAGAAGCTGTGTGGGTGGTGTGAGGACTAATCTGAAGTCACATTTTATTTAGTGTCATCATAACTTTGAATGGTAATTAAATAAATGCTTGTAAGTTAAAATAAAATTCTTTATCGGCCAAGTGTGGTTGGACACATAAGGAATTTGTCTTTGGTGCAAATGCTCTCAGTGTACATTAAAAAAAGATACATTCATCAAGAATCATCAGGTACAACACTTAATAATAGTCACAGGGTACAATAAGCAATCAAATCATGTTAGGAAACAGTCAATATAGATTGTAAGGAGACAAGTGACAAAGTTACAGTCATACAGTCACAAGTGGGAGCAGATGAGTGATAAGGAGTGATGATTAACAGTAACAGTAATAGTAGTGCAGACTTGTAATAGTTGAACAGTGTTGAGATATGAAGTTATATACGAAGTTAGTAGCAGTAACAGAATTTGAAGGGATCTTGGAGGTCTTCTAGTCTAACCCCCTGCACAAGCAGGAGACCCTATACCATTCTAGACAAATGGATGTTCAGTCTCTTCCTAGAAACCTCTAGTGATGAAGCCCTCACAATTTCTGAAGGCAAGCCATTCCACTGGTTAATTGTCCTTACTATTAGGAAGTTTCTCCTTAGTTCTAGGCTGCTTCTCTCCTGGATTAATTTCCATCCGTTGCTTCTTGTCTTGATTTCTGGTGCTTTGGAGAATAGCTTGAACTCCCTTTTCTTTGTGGCAGCCCCTCAAATATTGAAAGATGCTACAATGTCACCCATAGTCTTTCTCTTTCTTGGACTAGACATACCCAGTGCCTGCAACCATTCTTTTCTTGTATCTGCCTTCTGAAATGAGTGAAGGAAGAGCATTAGTTTAAACTAACTCAGTTTAAAGTCCTTCTGAGAATGTTGGATAGTGTAAAATGGTTTAAATATCCTGCTTATCTCAACATGGAAGAGAGGCTGCTCAGGAAAACACTTTGTCTTGTTGTCTTTCCAAACCAGAATTCAATGTCCAACTATTTACCAAGTCTGCATTATTATTACTATTAATCTTCTCATCACTCATTGCCCATCCCCTCCCACTTGTGACTGTATGACTGTAACTTTGTTGCTTGTATCCTTGCAATTTATATTGACTGTTTCCTAGTTTGATTTGATTGCTTATTGTACCCTATGACCATTATTAAGTGTTGTACCTGATGATTCTTTACTCTTTTTTTTTTTAAGACAAATTTTATTAGTTTTACAAAACAATACACAAACAATCAAGGCATAATAACATAAAAGATCTTTTCTAAGAAAACCAATAGAACATACAAAATAGTTCCAAATTGTAATATTTACGTTATCTGTTCAACTTCGTATCTTATCCCAACTTCTCCTTTTCATTCTATTATCCAAATTATATTTCTTACTAATTAAAATTTTATTGCCTTTCAAAAACAATACACAAACATACAAAACATAAAACATAAAAAAACATAAAACATCTTTTCTGAAAGCTGCTTGATCCCGGGTTAAAACTCTTCTCACAGACACAAATTCAAAAATCATATTTATTTTATATATCATTCCATATCTTATTACCATTTTCAATTTTCTATATAGCTTCTTCCCTCTTTTATCTTTCTTAGTTTTATTTTATTTATCTTATCTCAGTTCAATTCATAATACTTATCATTCTTTGTCTGTTCTATTTCCAGCTATCCATTCATCTTTTCTCTTTAAATATACTTCTCCTGTACACTGATTAGAGTGACGCCTTTGACTCTTTCCCCTAACTTAATAATACTTAATATAACACTTAATTTATATTGGGATTCTGTTTAGTACATTCTAAAATTACACAATAAATTTTATGAGAAGGGCAAAAACACAACAATAACAAAATAAAAGCATATAAAACCACTATCAATACCATTAAAAAGCTAGTCATATATATTGATACTCATTTATATCTTAAACATTTTACTCTAAATACACATATAAAAACACAATCTTATGTACCTTCCAGAATCCCTTTTTCAATTAGATTTACCCATTGTCTCTAAATAAGTTTTGTTTCTTTAAATCTTGCTTCCCACCATTAAGGCTTCTCATCCCCTCCTTTCTCTCTTGCTTATTTTTCTCCTTGCCCTTTTTACCCCTTTGTCTCTCCTCCTCCCTTTTCTTCTTCTGCTTACCCCCTTTCTGTTGTTTTCTAACCTTGTATCCACCTTTCATCTCATTTTTCTCATTTTTGATTGTTTTTTCAAACCTTAAAATCCCTCTTTTCTTTTCCCCTTTCTCCTCCTCCCCAAAAAGAACCAATTGTTCATCAAAGATGGCTTCTTCTTCTTCTTTGTCCCAGTCGTCCTGCTGCGTAGTCAATTTTTCATAAGTGCATACCGCCATTTCTAGAAATTGAAAAAGAGTGCCCAAAGTATCTTTTCCATCTTGTTCTTCTTTTTTTATATTTTTGATATTCAATTTTTAGTTCATCCACAAGCAATGCCATCGTGAAGAGAAAAACTTTTTCCAAAACAACCACCCAAGTATTTTTAATCAAGAATAATTCCAAAAAGTTCCAAAGTCACCAAAGAATCCAAATAAACTATTTCTTTTAATACTTTTTTTCTTTCTTATATTTCTCTTTCTGGGATTACTGTTTAATCAAAGAGTTCCAATTAAGATATTTTTTTTAAAAAAAACAAATTTTATTAATTTCAAAGACAAACAAATCATCATCAACCATTACATATTTGAACCTTTTTCCATTATAAATTTTACAAGTCAGATAAAACCTTATTTTATACAATACAATTCTTTGAATTTCCGGTTTGTCGGCTTTGCGAGCGGTAGGGATTCGCGAAGCTGCGCGATCCCTGCTGCGCTAGCCGCTTTTGGGGCTCCGATCCGAAAGGGTGCGGAGCAAGGCTGCCCTGCAGGGGCAGCTGAAGGTAGGGGGGATCCGGAAAAGGGTTTGGGGGTGTTGCAGACCCCCTCCCTGGCCGGCAGAACCTCCTTTTACCAAGATGGCGTAGCGGCGGTCCGTAATGGCTGCCACAAAGAAGCCAGCAGCTGGGCAAGTATGCGCAGGAGGAAGAGGAGAAAGTTTTTAAAAGTGAAAGTCTTCTTGGTCGATCCAGGACTCTGAGATATATTTAATTTAATTCCTGGAAGTGATGACTTTTTGGATGATTCTTTCCACAAGAGAAAGTAAGCGGCAATTCTGAGGTGCTGAAAGGAAAGTTTACTCTCCCTCCCGATGGAATTAACAAACGGATATTGAGAAACCTGTTGTTTTTTTCAGGTAAAACTAGCTTTATGGGATAAGTCGGAAGGGAGAGGACAAAAAATATATTTATCTGGTTGGATTTTGTTGGAGGAGATGCCTTAAGGATTTGGAGACAGAAATAAAATTTTAATAAGGCTTCAAAACACAGATTTGGATTTTCTTTTTTCCTTTGTCTGATACTACCCCTGGAAGAGAAAGTGGAAATTTTGGCTTGGCTTGGATTGATTGAGGATTGTGGACTTTGGGATTGTCTTACTTTTCTTTTGGAATATTTTGGTTGGAGTAAGAAGAAAGAGGGAAAAAAGAAAAGAAAAGATTTATAATGGCTTTCTCCCTTGAGGAACTGAGGGATGAATATGAGCAAACAAAAGCAGCCTGTAAAGATGGTATGGAAAAAGCTTTTCTATTTTTAGAAATGGCGCTGGTTAACTATGAACAGACAATGCGACAGATGGAAAAGCCACAAAGTTTTAAAATTGGATGGGAAAAGAGGAATCTTTTTCAGGGATAAAGTATAAATTTTCTTAAAAAAGATTTTGCAAGGTACATAAAACGGTATTGTAATATTTGTATTAGAAATAGAAAATTAGAATGGCTTAAGAGTTAATAAGAAATTAAAATGTTGAAATGTTTAATAATGATTGATTTTTAAAATGTAATAAAATATTGAAGGGAAAGGCAATGAGAATGCTATAAGATTTATTATTTAGATTTATTATTTAACTACATATTTAGGAGGATACTATGTATTTAAACATTTCCGATTTATTACTCTGTTTTTATTGTTATTAAAAGTAAAAATTAATAGATAGAATGTACCAAGCAGAATCAGATTGGATATTAGGTGTCATTTTAAATGTTAATCTAATATTTAGGGAGAGGATAGAAAGGCATCATACTCTGATTAGAGATTTCAGGAGAAATTCTTTTTTTTTTTTCATTATAAGGAATGAGATAGAGGGATAATAAAGGATGGGCAAAAGATACAAATATAATGATTTAAATTAAGATGGATTGAATAAGATAGAATTATGAAGAGTGAAATGTGTGGAGAAGTATATATAGAAGATACAGAATGGTAAACAAAATAGGTAATGATCTGTAAGATGAGCATGAATATAATTAAAGCCCATATAAAGAGAGGTACCGGGGGCCAAGTTACTTTACTAAAAGATTTTTTATATGTTTGTTTGTGTCTGTTTATGTTTTTGAGAAGTATTGGGGAAACCTTTTAGAAACACACAAAGAGAATGACGATAACCAAGTCAGAAAGAAATAGAGGACAAGAGATGTTTTTATGCTCATTTAGAAATGGTTTAAAATAGAATTGTATTGTATAAG